TTCATCTTCATCTTCATCTTCATCTTCATCTGCATCTTCATCTGCATCTTCATCTTCATCTTCATCTTCATCTTCATCTTCATCTTCATCTTTCATTTTCATCTTCATCTTCATCTTCATCATCAGGAGAGGCTCGGCCAAACACTAACATATGTGAAAGCGCCAATCTATTATTAACTGAATACTCCTACCTAATACTCTGCCAAGCCGTACACAAATGTTTACACAGCAAATTTCATGAGTGCCAGGTGCTCCCGTTTTTTTTACAATATTCAGCATTAGAAAAATATTTTTCTCAAACGTATTTTGTTTGTTAATTAAATGCTTAGTTACTATGTAGAAACTATTTTCTTTAATAGCTTTTGCAGCAAAATTTTTCGCACGAATTTTAAGAAACTTTGTGAGTATATAGGCGCCTTTCTTATCTAAAAACTTGGATACTAATTGTGGTTTTTATGTTCGGTTTTCATGATTTCGCTGATATATTTAAAGTGATAATGTCGCTGTCGACAGAACGTTCAAATAGTTCAGATAAAATGTTAATGTCATGTCGCGTGGTAAGGTCGTTTTCAATGTGTTGCAAGCAAGCTTTTATTTAACTTGGTCATCCCGCAGAAATTTCCAATCGACTTTAAACTAACTTCCCGACATTGTAGAGACTTGAAATTTCCAGAATTGTTCCAATCACGATGACAATGCAATTTAAAATATAAATGAATTCCCTAGATGGTCCAGGGGTCTTGATACAAAGGCGGTCAAAACATAGTAAAATGTATGGCTAACAGAGCGTAATTTGCCAAAGAACGTGAAACATTCCCTGGTATAACTCCGTATGGCACCTTTGCTCATGTATGGAACAACATACATGCATACATTTGTATGTACCCTGTAGTGAAAAACTGAACCAGTATGCACAAATTCCAGTTCATGAACTATTATTTAAGGATAAAAGTCATACTAGTTCTTTATGAACCATAATTATACCAGTTCCTCGTAGAAAAAAGTAAACTAGTTGGTAGAAATTCTAGTTCGAAAAATGGTATTAAATGGGGAAATCATACCAGTTCGTCATGGACTATAATTATACCAGTTCTACACAGTTAAATGCCAAACCAGCCAATATAAACACTAGTTCATTAACTAGTATGTGCTAAAGCGGCGGCCTACCATTTCGGCGATTTCGAACAACTTATGCGATCAGCAACATCTGTCTTTGAATAGGCACAACCAAAAATAAAATGCGGTTAATTGCTTTCATCGCAAATGTTGGCTGTGGCGTCGAGTGAAGACTACCGATTCTGGTTTTGAGATCTCAGGTTCGAGTGCGCGTGGAGGTTGTTAAAGTAAAGTAAGTAAATTAATTTAAATAATTATTTCAATTTAAATATAAAATAAAAATTGTGCATAAAGGCTGCATTTCTTCTTTCATTCTGAACGTTTGGAATAAACTTGTTTGT